TTTAGTGTGTTTTCTTAGGAAGTCTTTGGGTGACATGTTCTAGTGGGAGTGGCCCCTGCCTATGGCAGGGGTGTCTAGGTGGAGGGGAAGCTAGATGATCTTAAAGTCTTTTCCACCCTGAACCATTCTGTGATTCTATGGTCTCAAGTTCCTTTCCAACCCAAACCATTCTATGACTCCATGATATTAAGGTCCTTTCCAACCCTAACCATTCCATGATTATAGAGGAGTACTTAACAGGACTTTGTAACTAGTTTTGGAGGAATACTCAGAATTTAGATTGCTTGCATACTTATATACTTGACACTTTAATATTGACTCCCTTTTGCTTGTTTTTCGTTTTGATTTATTTAGGGATAAAGTGGTTCCAGAGCGAGTTGGCACTTACAATATCCAGTTTGCCTTCGCAATGGATAAGACAAACATTCTCACCAGTGACCAGGTTTGAATCTATAATTAATTACATGTAGCCAAGAACATGTAATACAGAATCATCTGGGAGAAGTATGATACTTTGTAGATTCAGAATGTAAATACGCTCACATGCAAGCTTTGCAAAAGAAATGTATTTTTATTTTTAATAGTCACTGATTTTAAAGTGTTGATTATGAAAATATATTTTCAGTAGCTTTTATAACTAAGCAGAAATATTGTGGAATAAAGAGAGCTGCATAATTTGCAGTTACAGCATACTGTAACTGGTTTATGGTCATGCTAATTTATTTCAAGATTCTCAGTAAATTTCACATGCATTTGTTTCCATATTTTTTGAGCAACCCATGTGTGCAGGGTGAATTATATCAGTCTTTATTTTATTTTGTTTTATTTTATTCTTCCTCCTTTTTCTGCTAGATTATAGTTGACGTTGTACCTAATGACCCTGTACGCTTGTTACCTGATTCTTTACCAGCTACTCCAGCAGTTTCGAATGTTCGAGCTCTTACTAGCCGTACACTGGTTAAGGATTTATGCCTCCATGTAATGGTAACTATACTTAAATACAAAATCGTAATTAGGGAAATATGTATGACTGCTAAAAGTATGTTAAATTTTCCTGTAAGGTATTGTTGTATCTTTCTGCAGATTAACTTCACAAAAAAGAGGTGCATCAAATGATTTCCAGTTTGACAGGTGCATCTTGTTTTATTTACATACAGATGACTGAAACATTCAGTCCTTGCTGTCAGGCATCTCAACTGAAACCCATTTCTTGTTGCCACAGGAAAAAAAGGTGTTTTAAGAATAGATTCTAGTGGGAAAACCACATATATATAGCAGATGTTTCTCTCCATGATTTTTCTTCCAGGAGACAGTTTCTCTTAGAAACCTTCTATTACAAAAACATAAGGTTTCCTGAACTTTGAATGTTCACAAGGATACAGGGAAATCACTTACCAGTTACCGCCATGGGCAAAGCAGACTTGACTTGTGGAAAATTAATTTATCGCCAATTAAAATAGATTTGTGTAGTGAGAAACAAAGACAAAAAAAAGTAAACACCTTCCACCCCACCCTTTCCCAGGCTCACTTTGCTCCAGACTTCTCTACCCTTCCCCAGGTGGCACCGGGTGGGAAATGCGGGGCACGGTCAGCCCATAACTGCTCTTCTCTGCTGCTCCTTACTCCTCAGTTTCCCAGCTCTAGTGTGGGTCCCTCCATGCAGTACTGAGGTACTTTGTGATCTGCTCCAGTGTGAGCCTCCCTGCAGGCTGCAGCCCTCCATGGGCTGCCGTATGAGTATCAGCTCTGACAAGGTCCTTCATAGGCTGCAGGGAAATACCTGCTCCACCATGGTCTCCCCATGAGCCGAGGGGAATCTCTCTCTGGTGCCTTCATCCCCATCCCCTCCTATTCCTCTCACCTTGGTGTTCCTTCTGCTGTCTCTCATGGGCTTTTTCCCCCTTCTTCTCAGCCAGTGCATTTTTGCCGTTTTTTAAAATACATTTTCCCAGAGCAGCCACTATTTTGGCTGAGGGTCTGGGTTGTGCCTGGTGGGTGGGTTGTAAACAGCACAGGGCAGCCCCAGCCTTTTCTCACAGAGGCCACTCCTGCAGCCCCGCCACAGCCAGCATCTTGCCACATAAACCCCATAGAGTACATAAATTGATTACTTAGTTCATATTCCAGACTAACTTTTTTGTCTTTTTTACTTACAGGATGAATACAACAACCACACTGGAATTGATCTAGTTGGCAGAATAATAGCAAAAATTAAGAGCCCCAATGAAGATGATACAGAGATCCCACAATTTCAGGGGAAAGTCAGTACAGCTGAGTTTCCATTTGAGAGAGGATCAGCTGAAATTGTAAGTGTGACTAAAATAGTTAGCTGCATGAGCAGTAGATCTAATGGGGCCTATTTTCCTACAGTTTCAAAGTCGAACTTGCACCTCGTCATGTTTTGTAGAGGGTTAGCATCCCCTCTTGTAGCCTTCCCTTACAGATCAGTAGATAAATTATTTCTTCTCTTTATTACTTGGTTTCTGATTTTCAGAAAACCTGAATGAAGGACATTCTTTAAACTGTTTATCCTTGCCAAGCGAGGGAGGTTTACGAGTACATTCAGTTAGGGACTGGGACATACAGGGGCATCCAGGATAAATCTTCATTTGAATTTCACATGTAAATAACACTTCACTAATTCGTAGTTAAACCATTAATATTAGTGGTAGTTTACATTTTTATTTGTAATACTATCTGGCTGTAAGATCTTGAGATCATTTAGTCTGACACCCACATATATATGTAATGAAATTTTACCAGGTTCTCTTGCATTTTGTCAAGCTGTCTAGGTTTATATATATTTTGCGGAAAGGCATCCTGCCCTCATTCGAGGAAGTAAAGATAAAGCTGCTACTTCTCTCTTTCTCTTTACTCTTCAGTTACTAATACCCTTGCCTGTTAAAAATACTTGACTTATTTCAGTTCGGATCTCCAGCTGTAGCATCATGCATGCCTGTGAAAGTACTGCACATTGTAGTCAGGTCGTCACAGTGACTTTTCTTCAACAAATACAGGTTGAATTTTTAAGACCTCTGAGTTCCATTTGTAACAATTGTTGTAAACTGTAACATAAAAGACACAAATTAAAACATGCATATGCACAAAACCAGAAACTGTTCAAAACACACCCAAAAACGCAGTTGATCAGAGTGGAATGGTCACAATACCTCTCTTAAAAGCCTACAGAGAACTTCAGTCAATAGGGCTGTTTCATGCAATGAAATAGGTGTATATAGACTGTTTGGGGTTTTTTTAAAGTTGCTGAAGTATCATATAAGAATTGCAGAGCAGCAAACATATACCCCTGTTTTGTTTGGTTCCTCTGTCACATGTTTTACTAGCCTGAAGTCTATGCAAATCTTCAAACATTTAGAAGGTGTACTGAAGGAGGATCCAACTTCTTAAGTAAATTTCCTTAGCCGTGTTTTTTAACTCACTCATTGGAAGACACTTCCCAGCAGGCCAGCATCAGTGTGTGCCAGGTAGAGGGAGATGCTGCCCTAACAACAACTACAAAATCTCATAATACATCTTGGAAATCACAACAATAAAATCCCATTAGAACCACTAAAATATTCATAATTTATTCAGCACATCAACTGCTTTTATGAAACTACATAGATGAAACTTAATGACACAGCATAAATAATTCTCTGAATTATTTATTATTATTATTACAGCAAAGAACAGAAAAATCCAGTTAACATAGGCAAACATTTTTCTGTGAACAATCTGTCAAGCCATGGTCTACTCTGATCCATAAGGAAAAGTGACAAAATATATAAGAAAAACAAGCTAGAAAAATAAAATGCATGGACGAAGTATCAGATAAAATTAATATACTAATTGATCTATCGTGAACTCTGAGTTTCTTTTGTTCCCCAGCCATGCTTCAGGAGTAGTTTATTAACTGGTTCATGAGCACATTTTTCTTGGGCAGCTGGGCTGGGAAAAAGTGCAAAAGCATAGGTAAGGGGTGAGCTGTAACCAGTGGTTTAATGAACTGGTGTTTTTCTCTGCAAATCTTGCATTTACACCTGGTGGTAGAAATTTGAACAGATGTTTATAACTTCATGCTACTGAAGGGAATAATAACCCCATAGAGTGACGTCTGACAGTTCAGAAAAAATTACTGGATAATTTCTCAGACTCCTCACTGATGCAGAAGTAGCAATTTTTTTGTCTCCATGTGCTAATAACCTGCTGTTTATCCATTGTTACCTAAATACTCCAGCCTTGCTTCAGTAACAACCAACCTGTGTAATGAGGGGCGGGGTGGTGGATATTTCAGATTTTTTTGTTTGGCTTGTTTTGGATTTTTGGGTTTTACAGTGTTTTAGTAAGCAGATGCTTTTTCTTTCTACTTGTATGTTCCTGGTTTGAGGTGGGAGGAGGTTGTTGCATTCTTCTGCTTTCTCTTTATTGTGATTTGATGAGTTCCTACTGCTTTTGACAGTAACTTGTGTTCCCTAGTCTTCCACTGGGAGTAATTCCATTTCAGTGAATCCTGTATCTCTTCCCCTCTACAGGCAGTTTTCAGTTGTCTAGTTTATACCAAGTTCTCTGACTTTAAACAACCCTCGAAGCTCATCTGCAAAGAATTTGTTGGTTGTGATGCAATATACTTTTCATATGATTAATGGGGAGGGGATGGGACACACCACTGTTTATTTAAAGTATCTTGAAATTGTTACATCTTGTTTATAAATATAATTATATACAGTTACCGTCATTATAATGAAGATGATAATCTGACATGTTTAACCTTACACTGAGGTTCAGGAATAGTAAACTTGTTTAATGAGGGAAAATGTTTAGATTTTTATTAGTATACATTAGTATATATTAGTACATTTTCTTAAGGAAATTATATTTCCCCTACAGACTTCTCCTGATTGAATATGTAGCTGCAATATTTTTGAAAGCCATAAAGACTTTCTTTGAAGGTTATATATCTATCTCTTCTTTTAGGCTGCAACTACCTCTCTCTTGATTTGGCCAGTTGAGTAGCAATTTCTACATGTTAAAGGTGGAAACAGTATGAGTTTTATTATAAGCATTATTCATTTTATGCATGATACCTTTCCCAAAGTAACAGCACATTTAGATATTACTATACTAATTTTATTTCTGTTTATCATTCTTTATGGTTTTATAATATTTCCTGTGTTTGTAAAGAAAGGCAAAGGATTTAGCTTGCCTTTTCAATAAGGAATTGATAAAAAATGGAATTGATGTTCATGATAGTGTTTGGATATATATTTTTTATTCATTTGGGACCTGCTGTCTACTTCCATGGTAACAGCAGTAACTTTAACTCAGCACTGGGAATAGTTTGTTTTCCCTTCTCTGTTTATGCATCGGGCCTTTCTTTTTAATGTTCCGTTTGCATTTGTTCACAAGCTGAATGAAGTACATCTGAGGAAGTCTTGCGGGACAGTGCAGAGAATATTTTTTTCTGAGCATATGTCTCTTAAATATATAGCCAACAATAATAAGGCTCTTTAAACAGGTAAAATGACAATCTTAAATATTAAAATAGTTACTGCTAAATCTTTGTATTTAACTTCTCTTTAATAGTTACAAAAGGCACTTCCAAGCCAATACTTAAAACTGTAGTAATATTGTGTAGGCATCATGTGTTAGGTAACTATAAGATTTAGTATTTGAAGAATGTTTATTTTCTTTTGTGTCGCTGCAAGTGTATATATAAACTTACATCTGTTTGTTTGTTTGCTTTATTAGAGTCTAGTGCTGGCTGAAAACAGTCCTGGAAGAGACAGCACTGAATATATTCTTGTATTCGAGCCAGATCTTCCAGCTTTGAAAAAACCTTTGGAGCCTTATCGTCTGTCATTTATGTTTTACAATGGTATGTTTCAGTTACTTTAAAATGCTTGCTTTTCTTTAGAAGCAATTATTTTTAGGTCCATAATACTTCTTCGAAACTGTGTAATAACTTAAGAGATTTTTGCTGATATTTAAACCAACTAAGTACGTTACTGTTTTGGTTTGGTTTTTTTTCTAAAAATACATGTATTTCTTTCTGTAGATTTCAAGAAGCAGCAACAGATGGCAACACTTACAAGGGAGAGAGACCAATTATCTCAGTCCATTGGTGTTTACAGAAATTGGTTAGATACTACTAATCAGCTTGTAAATGAAATTAAATGTAAGTTCAATCAAATATATAAATAAATTTCCTGGGAATTAAACTTTTTTCCTTTAATAATTTTGAGAATATAGAGAGAGGGAGGCAAATACATATTGAAATCATGAGATACAGTAATTAGAGGGCAGCAGGTGTGAGTGTATCTTTAAATTAGCAGGGAAGCATCTACTTATTTGATTGACCTGCCTGTAAAGGGTCTTGATTTGAGGTAGAACGTCTTATTCCAGAACTGTCAAAAGGAGGAATAAAACATTGAAGTTTGTAGTCTCATTCTGTTTTTCCATGACTGCCTTGCACTCCCATCTTTGCAATGGACGTGTGAATGCTCATTGATCTGGATATCTAACAGTTGCCTAAAAACAGTCCTAGGGAATGAACCATCAATAATCCTCTTTCAAAAAGATAGTCTTACGTTTCCAAAATGTTACTTCTTTCTGCCCACATTCTGACCCTGTGTACATTACTCAAAAGTATTGTGTAGCTATTAATTGTTTATCTCAATGTTTGTCAGCAAATGTAATCCTTTATATAGTCTGTTAAACAGCAGAGTGGTGTCAGGGCAGTGGTTTGTGGGAATGGGAGAGATAAAGGAAATGTTTTCTTTGCATTATATTTTTGTTTGAATCAATCATCTTGTCTGTTGATCAGAAGCTTTGATTTAATAAATGCATTTTGAAATTTTATTATAAGTAATAATTAAATGTAGGTAAAGCATGCTGGAATTAAAAGATGCTGCTGTTTCTTGTAATTTTAGCACAGGCTATGTTTCTGTTGCTTGCTTCCTGTTACCATTATGGGTGCAAATTTCTGAATTCCAGTGTGAAAGGCAAAAGGTTTTGTTTCGTATTTGCAGATTTTTGCACATCTCTAGAGAGTAAGTTAGAGCACAACATTATACTTCATGCTTAAATAACATTTCCATATATAAACCTATTTGAAGAGAGAGAGTGGAAAGCAACTCACCTGTTTACTCATTTGTTTTCAAAATTGCTTCAGTTGAGATACGAGAGTTGAGGAAATAGTGTTCAAGAAGTGGTGTTCCACATAAGAGACTGAAGAGGGAAGTGCCAGCTGCCACTCTTCCCTTCCCTCTTGCCCTTTCACATGTTAGAGAAAGATTTGGAAAGATAATTGAGGATGAAAAGAAAAAAAGAGCTTATATTCTCAGGCTGATCTAAAGACTGGTGCCATTGTTTGCTGAAGCTGAAGTAGATGTCAGCTGTTGAAACAGCTTAGAAGCTGGACAAATCACAAGATCTTTGTGGACAAATCTTGATATTCTATGCTGAAATTAAGAAGTAGGTAGGATCCGCTGTGGATGGCATAATTCTGAGAAGTTGTAAGAAATTCTCTAAGAAGTGTTCCATTGCTTTCTAGTATTTCCTTACTCTCTGTTGATTTCATTGTTTTCAGGTCAGGTTAAAGAAGCTGAAACAAGAGAAACACATCTGAAGAGCGAACTGAAAAAACACCAAATTGAATTACCACAGACAAACACAGTATGACTTATGTCTCACTAACCTCTGTAGCATCTTAAAAAATAAATCTAGTATGAAATTGCTATCATTATACAATATTATGGAATCACACTGGTATATACACAAGCACCTATTTAGAAACCATGAAAATTTAAACCACAAGGATGATTTGTGTAACAATGCCAAACTTAATTTATTTCTTTAATTTACTTTTCTGCTAATGTGACTATCTCTTAAAGAAATTGCTGGAGAAATAAGAAAAACTTATTTCTGATCCATGTCTGGATCTTGTTTTTACCTTTCTGCTAAGGTTAACAGTTGTGTTACTGGTATTGGTCGTTTTCATATTAGGTTTTTGCAGGCTGATCAATATACACTGGATGTGTTCTGGCAAAAGTAAACCAAAGGGAAGCACTTCTTTTGTGATAATTAGAGGATTTCATATCTTACTGACAAAGTCGATATAAAAGTATATTTGAAAGAATCAGAGCAATGTAGCCCGTTGCTAATTTCCTATGAAGATCCGATTATGTTATTAAAACTCTTTACAGAAAGCTACTAACACTTTAAAGAATATATAGGTAAACAATCATCCTTCCTTAGATCAAATAAAAATAAGTTTTATAGTCAATCACAAATCAGTAAAATTAAATTATACACATTCTGCAGTCATGGTACCCAGGTTCCCCCTGCTGGCTACATTTTTCAGGCCTGGATATAGTCCACTTCTAAAACTGCTTCTTTTTGTACAGTTGTGCTTGTCTTTTCCTGCTGTTTTAAACTTTATTCAGTTTTAGCTCTAATCAAGCTTGGGTAGCTCTTTGTGATAAGCTCCCTGAAGTCTTTAAAACAAAAAAAGTAGTAATAGAAAAGTTCATAGTCACAAGTGCAGTGTGCCTCCTTTTGCTCTCCTCTGAGATTATATGCATAGTCCTCTATGTATTAAGAGTCTGTTCCATTTTATTGAAGGCTTTTCATTAGAACTTGATTGAGAACAGGTAAACTAACTACTTCTGCAGCTCAGCCCAATGATACATGCTTGCTAACTTTAAATTTTAATTCTCAGCTTCAGTATGTGGATTCTCTTATAAAACAAAAGATGTTGGATCAAGAAGGAGTAATGAAACAGCCAAGGCGAACTTGTACCCTCCCAAACTATCCAAAAGGCAACCAGGATATTTTAGGCAAGGTGAGTTTTCTCTCTGAGCCTTCAGATGAGTTTGGTTGTTATATAGTAGCAATGAAATATTAGCCAACCAAATATGCAAGTAATTTTTGAGGAGTATTGAAAAGAAGACAGCATTCTTAACCCATCAGATGACCAGCTCTAACAGAGCCATCAACAGGGGAATTAAATGTCTGATTGAAGTTGCAGGATTATTGTGATTAGTATGAAAAGGGGACGTGGCCTTGGCTTCTGTGTTGACTGTTCTAACTTCTGTGGCACAGATTGCACATTTAGCACAAATTGAGGATAACGAAGCAGCAAAAGTTATTTCTTGGCATTTGGCAAGCGACATGGACTGTGTAGTTACACTGACTACTGAAGCTGCTCGTTCTATCTTTGATGAAACTCAAGGTCGACAGCAAGTGTTACCTCTTGACTCGATTTACAAGAAGACACTCCCTGATTGGAACAGGTAGGGAAAAAACAATGAAACTTCTGCATTTGTATTTCTTACGAATTTAATCCTTTTTTCTTTTCCTTGTCTAATTCATTTTTTGAACTTCACACCTTTAATAGGATGATTCAAATCATGATTCAAAGTAAAGAATTTCTGGCTTCATAATTACAGCAACAGTAACGTCACTTGAAGTGTTAGCTGAAATTGTAGCTTTATATCTTCCTCTGCGGTGCATTGTTCTTTGTTCAATAGAGTTTTTCTATTAAAGAGAAGACAATCTACCTTTTCTTCACTTCTACATGTTTTTTTCTAGAGCAGGAACTTTTTTGTAATTAATTCTGGTTCTTCACATCAAATACTAACTTTTTTAAAAATCCAGTTCCAGTGTACATTCCCTAAAATCATCTGTAGTTATAAAAATTAATTTTGCTGTTCTGGTTTCCTGGAATATAAAGGAAAACACAGTAATTCCATGCCTGAAAATAATTTCTTTTGTAGATGACTGCTAATATCATAAAGAATGCCTTTTAGAAAAGATATGATATGCAGATATATTTATAAGGTCCAAAATCTCAATTTTTACAAAACAGATTATTAAAACTTGCCTGTAAAATTGGTCACATGGATTTGTCGGATATACATCTCATTACAAATTAGTGTTTTACCAAAGAGTCTTTAATATCACTGGCATTTTAGATAGTGTTGGGATCCTTTTGCACCTAATGTGGAAGTGTTAAGATGTGTTCGATTCAATTTGGGATTTCTGACGAGATTGTCAGGAGCAATAATGAAATAAACACAAATTACATACTTTTTTTTCTTTTCTTTTCTCCTTCGCTCTTCCCTTTCTTTAACCAGGCCTTTACCTCACTTAAGAAATGGAAAAACGTTCTTCAGACCTATTGGAAATCCTGTATTTGCCAGAGATCTGTTAACATTTCCAGATAATGTAGAGCATTGTCAAACAGGTAAATGATACTAAAGAAGTTCTTCATAATTTCTTTCTGTTTAATAAATAAAATACAGAAACATCAAAAATCATAATACATTCAGTAATCTTCATTGAGACATTTTCAAATACCAGGGAGGACAGGAAAGCACTGGCACCCACAGGGAGGTGGCACTGAGAGACAGAGACCACATCCTTTTCCTACAGTTTTTTTCTTAAATTAAGGAGATCTAGTCGTTAATATGGAGAGTTGGAATTTGTAATTATTTCAATAAGTTTTTCATTTAACTTCACAACTTCTCAGTATTGAAATACTCATCTTTTCATAAAAAGCAATTTTTAGTCCAGTTTATTTTCAGAAAATTAGATACTGTCAGAGACTTTTATGATAAATTCTTCTCCATGTCCCTCAGGGGAATTTAAAAGCCACATTGCTTGACATATCTCATGCAAGGCTGCATCAAGTTAGGCTTTGTATAGAACAGTTTTTTATTAGCAAAAGAAAAGCCTTAAACTCAGTCGGATCATCAGCCTGTGATGTGTTGGGTTTTTTTGTTTGATAACCCATTGAATGTTAAGAAACGTATTAAGAAACTGGGAACACAATTCAAGAAGGACTTAAAAGAATTATCATTTATATAATTTCCTAAAATTTGGGATTTTATTATGTGTGTCTTCATAAATGTAAAAGTAAGATACTGAGAGAGTACTTTGGAAAATAATTGCCTTATGGCATAATTGACTGTAAACATACTAAATCTTTTCTTTATGAATTCTTTGATGAAAACAGAAGATTGCTAATTTCATTGAAAACATGCAGCTGATGTTTTCCTGGTACTTATCTGAAAAGCTGTAATAATGATGCCTCAGAATTGATTTTTCAAAACTCAAGTTATTTTGTTTGCTGAGAAGTTTAATGGTTCAAAAAATTACATTTTTCAGTGTTTGGGATGCTCTTGGGTGACACTATCATTATAGATAATTTGGATGCTGCCAACCATTATAGAAAAGAGGTATGTTTCAATTATTCGTTATATTTTTAAAACAAACATATTACATAGTTATATATTTAATACATTACAAACTTAGATTAGTTGCTGAGTTTAATGCTGCATTAGTTGTAAGTATGTTTACTGTCTGTGGGTCTCGATGCACTTAACAGTGAATGAAATCTCTCTTACTGGCAGTGGCAAAACTACTTCTATTCAACAAATTCCATTATGTGAATGTTGACATGAAGCATGAGACCACGTTTTTAAAGATAAACATTTTTAGTTTATCTTTAAAAAAGTGCTCACATTTTTTATCAGTGCTGAAGTTCATTGACATTACTACCATAGTATATGTTGAAAATTAGCATTACTTGAAACCAAAAGTCATGAAATGTAATGTCATAAAATACATTCTCATTAGAGAACAAGGTGCATCATGACAAAGATATGAAGCTTCACAGCAGCACTGCTGAAAACTTTTTTCCATGGAGTTACTAATTTAGTTTCACATTTTATGCCTGTGTAGGTTGTAAAAATTACACATTGCCCTACTTTGCTGACTAGGGCAGGAGACAGGATTCGTAGTAATGGAAAATTTGGAGGCCTTCAGAATAAAGCTCCTCCAATGGACAAACTCAGAGGAATGGTATTTGGAGCACCCATGCCAAAACTTTACTCTACTTTTGCTGGACAGATAGGTGGGTTAATGAAGTAATGAAAATGCAAAACTTCCAAAATTATATTGCTTGCCTATGTTTGTTATTCTCTTACGTAATATAAAAAGGAAAACTTCAATTTAGCATTAAGTTATTTTAAGAAATATGATCTGTATGGTGTCCTATTTATGAATTTCCCTTTTCTTGAAAGTTTACAGCTATTAAATTTCCTGAAAGAAGATATAATAGTCATGAGTTATTCCCCCTTTATCTTAGTCCTGTTAAAGAGTAAAAGCAGTGGTAATCATTCAAACAGCAGGTGTGAGAAGCTTGAGCTGATTGAATTCCAGCATCCTTGAAAAATAAGTTTTGGGTCTTTCTTCTCTAGGAATACCATACAGCAATTCAGAATTTCTTACTGTACAAGTAAGTTCTATGAAGCAGTGGTAGAAATATTCCTGTTCTCATAAGAGTCATGCACAACATCTTCTACAATATTTCCCTAACAGGAAGATGACTTATATTTCCTGTGAGATCTCTTACATTTCATTATGTCTGGAGTCTTCCTTTCAGAATAAAGGTTGTAAGTTAAAAGATAACGGCTTCTTTTACATGACAGCTGACCTGACTGATTTATAAAACATTGAAAAGTCTTAATCGCAAATAAAGTTGTTCTTAAATACTTTATTTTCAAAAGAAAGGAAATGAAGTTTCTTCATGACAATCTTCCTAGAAATGTGCAATGGAGAGGAGTGGGGAAGAACAAGAGAGAGAGAGAACACCGGTACCTATTGGAGTAACTTTGAATATGAGCAAACTACCTAAGATTGACCAATTGAGGGAGAAGGAAGACTAAGAAGATCTTTCCTAAGCATTTCAGTAAAAATATATTACATGTTGAGAAACCATAGCAAGCATTTCAGCTACAGACTGAAGTATGCTGGGTTTAGCACACTATATTTTTCTGTCAACACATCTTCAATTGTTGCTACCCAATGTGAATTAAATTGGAATTGTCTGTAATTTAGTACAGGGACAATCATGGCAGAAGAAAAGGCATGTTTTAATTTCTCTTGGATAGTTACTAGACACTTAAAGGAAAATAATAGTGAAATTCCATATAAAGCATCTCATTGCACAAAACTTTTGAACTGAATTTCAGCCTTAACATTAGTTTTGACTTGCTCTTCTTCTGTGTTTGTAGCATAAAAGTGAAGTAGTTATTCACACTGTGATTACACTGACAAGGTACTTCTGAAATAAACCATACTAAGAATTTACGGTGCCTTTTGTCAGTCTTCAGTAACTATGTGAATGCTTTCACCCTGTGGCAAACATAAGATAATTTAGTGTTCAGTTAAGCTTTGTGCTGTCTCATATTCACCACAGAGTAAAATGAATGAGCCTGGGCTAGCGTCCTTGAACCTTTTATTACCTGACATTTATTCAATGCCTAGACAAAGAAAAATTCTACATGTTAAAAGAGGAATAAAGTTTGTCAGCAAAATAGGCTTTTGTTTATTTGAGTCTGCTGCTGTGTCCTTGTTTAAATATCTGTAGGTGAGACAAAGTGAAATTCAGTAAATATTCTCTTGTTCCACAAGGTGGACTAAAACTCAAGTGAGTAATATGAGCTTCAGCTTTGTAGCATTAAAAGCAGAAGAATTCAGTTTGGAGCACACAAGTGACAAGATGTCTAAAGAAATGCCTGTTAGCCGCATTATGTTCAGAATTCACTGGTACTTTGTGATCTAAGATACAGGCTCAAAAAGAAAAGAAGAGTCAAAATACTTGTGTGATTTTTTTTTTTTACTCAGTTTAACAACTGGTCCACTGTAAGTTTGGATGGAGTTTTTTAAGTAATGCTTTTGAAAGACATTTTCTTGTGAATCTTCTACATTGTGGGTTGTATTTAGTAGCCTTCTAAATCAAAATGACCACTTAGTTTCTGTTTTCTGTTTTATTATTTTACTCTTCAATTAGATCTTCTTCAGCAATACCGTACAGCAGTGGTGAAACTTGATAATGTGAATAAGGACCTTGATTTACATTTGCAGTCACTTAACGCTCCAGAAATGCAAAAGAAAAAACAGGAACTTGCTGAACAAGAGAAAAGCCTCAAGCTAATAGAACAAAAATTGGGTAGGTTATTGTATTATATTTTTGGTGTCCTAAAGGAGGAGAACTGTTAATTCATGCATCCAGATGAATTCTCCTCTTACAAACTAACATGTTCAAACTATGAAGGGAGATTGTTAAAGTAAATTTAGAGCTTAGAAATGTCTCAAAAAAAGAAAAACCAGTAGTATGAGGCTGTGGATGTTGCTTAGAACAGCACTGCCCTGTAGTATATTCAGATAATAAAAATGTGGTCAGTTAGTATCTTGTGAACATGAAACTAGGATCTCACTAATATGAGATTATATAACTAACCGGCCAGCTGGCCCAGTGCTAGAGAATGTTGCCATTCTTTTTGAAATGACTGCGTAATAAAGACCTGAATTGCTTTTGCTAAGGAAACACAAACAAAACATAGTGCTATAAAAAGAAATGCACCTAATTCTGCAGAGACAGTATTTCTGAGTTAGAAATTGGGTTTATGTCAATATTGAATCATTTGTGGTATTTCAAAATATATCTAAAAAAACAACACTTACTCTGTGACAACTATAAATAAAGCAGATGTGTTTACCTGTCATCTTTGAACTCAGTTTCAGACATGAGATAGCTGTAAATTTTATGGCATGTCTAAAGTCTTACTTCAAAAGTTTAACACTACTGTTACAGGGACCATTTGTTACTAATAGGATTCACATGGGGTTTTTTTAATTTGTTCTTACTTGCCACTTTTTCATAGGTATGACTTCATCAGATAAAGTCACTGAATCATTACTTCAGCCTGTAATGTTAGATATGCCTGACACCCCCATCCCTCCCAAAAGAATGCGAAGAGAAACAGTGAAAAAATTGTATAGGTAAGTCTATTCTGAATCTAGTCATTATTTTCCCATTTCCTGAATTCAAAAACTACTCTTGTTTGGGTTTTGGTTTTGGGTTTTTTTTGTTTTTTGCATGGGAGATATATAATTTATTTTCTTTTTTAAAGCATATTTGTGTACAGCAACCAAAGAGTAGAGTTTGTGTAAGGCTGATTTTCAAGGTAATTTTTACTTCCTTGAAAGTTTCTGCTGTTATTTAATGATACAAATACAAATCTTCAATACAAATATTTGCTTGCTAACTCTGTTTCTCTGTATGAACTGATTGATTGTCATCTTTGTGCATTCATGTTCCCCATGTATTCAACTTTGTTACACCTCAGAAATATTTAAGATGGCTTGGTCTGTAAACTCTTTTAAGGTGAGATGTCAAATACTAGAGGAGATGAACAGAGAATCATTCTTGCATAACTTTTTCTAAGTAACTGTCTGAGGTGAGCTGATGTTAAAGTATTTAAGACAGTTATCTTTACTTGTGTGTATATAGTTCTATATTGCCTCTGTGGCTACTGGGCATTGGTACACCCAAAAAAAGTATCAGGGAAATCTCTAAGTCTATATCTTCAAGATGACATGGAACTGACTTTCCCATTTGTCGTGGTTTAAGCCCAGCCGGCAACTTGGAACCACGCAGCCGCTCGCTCACTCCCCCCCCTTTTCCTTCCTCCCCCCGCTCCCGGAGGGATGGGGAGGAGAATCGAAGGAATGTAACTCCCACGAGTTGAGATAACAGCTCTCCAGTAACTAAGGTATAATACAAACCACTACTGCTACCAATAATAATGATAAGAGGAATAACAAGGGAAAAGGACACAACCGCTCACCACCCGCCGACCGATACCCAGCCCGACCCGAGCAGCGATCTGGCCTTCCGGGTAACTCCCCCCAGTTTCTATACTGGGCATGACGTGCTGTGGTGTGGAATAGCCCTTTGGCCAGTTTGGGTCAGGTGTCCTGCCTCTGCTTCCTCCTGGCTTCCCCTCCTCTCTGGCAAAGCATGAGACTGAGAAAGTCCTTGGTCAGAGTAAACATTACTGAGCAACAACTAAAACCATCGGTGTTATCAGCATTGTTCCCAGACTGAAAGTCAAAAACACAGCACTGCACCAGCTACTAAGAAGGAGAAAAAATGACTGCTGTAGCTGAACCCAGGACACCATTTCTCATGTCTCTTCTCAGCAACAACAATTTGTTGCTGAACTGTGGTCATATTTTTGAGATTATTTATATCTTACTCACTTGTGTTCTGTAAATCTCAGAACTAGTGTTTACTATATTACTATGTCTCCTTATATTTGTTGTTAATTTTTTTATCCATATGTAGAACTTAATTGGCTATATATTTAGACCATCTAGTATTAGCCTGATGCTATTACTCATTTCAACAAAATAATTCCAAGAATAAGAAGCTGTGCACAAATATGGGGGTTTATAATTTTTATACTAGTGGGAACTCTGTGCTTTTGCATCAGTTATAGCAAATAGAGATAAAACATATAGAAAGAAAAGGCTTGGTTTATAATGTACTGTGCTATGTTTTTGTCTAGCTCAGAAGAATGGATCTCCTCTACCACAAAGAAGCAGCAGCAATTGCTGCAAATACCCACTTCAGAACTTAATGGAACTTCACGAAAGAGAAAGGCATAGACTGATGAGACTTGCTGGAAATGGCTCTGTACTGAAAATGTGAATACGTTCAGTTAAAGAAAAATACTCATGTTGTACTACCCATTACGATGAAGATTTTTATACTGATTGAAGATATAGATGTATTTCAGTTAGTAGTAACAAAAAATAAGTCTTTAGCATTGATAGCCTAATTTTTGTATAGTTAATTTTCATTTCTAAAAGCTTTCAGAGTTTTTATGTTCATGTGTGAAAAAAGTTTAAAATATATCCTTTTTTTATTTATGAAAAAAATCAATCTTTTCAATAAAACTGCTTCAATACAAAGCACTGCCAATACAATAATTTGTAATACTTAGGTCAACAGATTGTGCCATGAAATGAGGGTTTTAATTTTAAAAGCATCCTGGGCTGTTTTGGGTTAGAGAACTTTCTGGATTGCTCTTTAACAGATGAGCTGTCAAGGTGGTATCAATATAAAAGGGAGATTTTGAGCAGAGATATAACTGAGATCTAACCACAGCTGTTTGTGGAGTCTTTAGGTGGTTAACAACAAGCCAGTATCTGCGGCTAGACCCAAGGAATTAACATGGGAATTCATATCTCCTGCAGACAGTGCCAATGGAAAAAACAAAGTAGTAACTTCTCAGTATGAAGAGTCTTAACAGGTTCATTAGGAGGCTATTCTAAGGATTGGGAGAGTGGTGAGTAGGGATACTTCATGGGTGCAGATGAGATAGAATACTGAACCAATGCTAGCTACTTTTCAACATCTATATTACCACAACGCCTATAAAAAAACCCACTGCTTAAGCAGACCAAAAATTGGTCCTTGACACCAGAGGTGTAACTGACAGAGGGATTCGAGTAGGAATGGTGATGTCACAAAGGAAAAACAAAAATTCTTGCAGTTGAACTGTGTGTATGCATATTAAAAGTTGGAAGTGGAGACTTAAGCTGAAGATAGAATAATTCTGTTAGGAAATTCTAGATACCTCAACAGAATTTATTAAGGAAAAATTAAGTAGTGGTGGAATGGTCTCCAAAACCTCGTGTCTTAAAGGTAGTCTAAATTACTTCAGACATCATTTTGTCCTATTCTTAAAGAAATATATTCAAGTATAACATGTAACACCAGCCAAGAACTATGCCTGCCCTGCCTCAGCCCTTTTTCCTGTTTTTTCAGCTCAAAATTTAGACAGCAAGACTTGATTGAACCAGGCTGCCATACGGGAACGTTTGCCATGTAAGAAATTGTCCCACCACACCAAGTTACTTGGTTGTACTTCTTTTAAATTCATTTCTTTAAGTTCTGACATCTGCCCAGCCTTCACCTCCTAATTTCCAGATGACCTTGAATCTTGTTTGATTAAATATATATTCTAGCAGAAATGTTTCCTTTTGAAATTCACCTCTTGATGCTGGTAGTGCCAGTACTGACCACCGAAGGCATGTGATGAATCTCCCTGCTGGAAGAAGCATGCAGGAAATTAAGGAGGTTTCCAGAGTTGTGCAACAGTTACTGGAGATTTCAGGAAATTTCACCAGGGAGTTTTCAGGATTTTTCAGCAGATGACTTCAAGTTATTAGAGTTCACGTTACTGCTTTCCATAGCGGTTCAAAGCGCTGACAAAACTCTTGAACTCTAGAGGTGTCAGGTTTTTTATTTTACCCATTCTTTACTCTTGTAACAGAGCAAACTAGGGACCGAAAACTAGGGTGTGTATGTTGTCCTTGCTGATTCCACGAGGGGCTGGTAGAGAGTGGTGCAGGGAAAGTGCGAAGTGGTTCTGGCTTGAGCCCAGGCCAGCTCAGGGGAACAAGGAGCTGGTTTCTGGTGGAGGCTGGAAGCAGCTCCGGGTGGAGGTGGGCCAGTGCCTGCCCCTCCACCGCAGGGAGGTGGAGCAGCTGCACAGCAGGGCTGGGTAGTGATGGGGAAGTGGGCTGCAGGCACATCAGGTCAGGCCCTGGGTGTACTGCAGCAGCCACAGAGCGGGGCTGGCTGGGAGTCCCCTGGGTTCCCTCTTGGCTGCTGGCATCTCTCCCAGCCCAGGGAGACAGGACCTCACCACCTCCCTTTTTCTCCAACAGAGACTCCCAGAGAGACTCACGTGGCGCTGCTGTCCCAGCGTGAGGTGATGTCTGCAGTGTGCACTGGTGCGTGGGGACCTATCACTGCTCCCTGTCAGAAAGCTGAGTAGGAGCCCCACTGTTGTGCCAGGTGACCCCACTCCACACAGCGGGCCCTGTATTCCCTGCAGCAGTTTTCCTGCTCAACAGGTAGAGAAGATTTACCCCACTGAAAGACGTAAGACCTCTTCTTCCAGCAAGCAAGGATGCTGACTGCCTGTGTAAGGCAAGTGGGGATACCTCATGTAACCCAGTTATGGGCGTCAGTGGCAAGTCCTACCCTTCCAAGCCACGCTATTGTGGTGTTACAGCCCCACCACCACTACCACAGCCCTGGTGCCACCACTCTACCATCCCAGTGTCACCATCTTCTCCAGTACTTCCCTAGCCACATGTATTGCATCCGTTACTTCCTTCTGCCTCCTCCAGGGCCTGAGTGTGTTGTCAACCAAGGGCTACAGTTCAGGGAGAGAGCAGTGAGAGGGAAGGAGGAAAGGATGGTGCCCAGGGAAGCGAAAGGAAGGCAGAGCAGTAAGCAAGGCAGAGAACCACTGCAGGATGATGCTATGGGTATCGCTACGTCAGTAGGCTGGATGTAAAATGCACATATTCCGAATGTCCGTTGAGACACCTTGTGAGACTCGAGCAGTATAATTAACTGTATGTTTTGCTCTGAGGACTCCGAAGTAGGTGCATATTTGATGAGGTCTATATTGTTACTCTGAACTCCATTTCAACTAAGCTGGTCAAGAGATTCGCGGTCACTGTTGATGAATGGTCCATACTGTCAGTGCTTACAGTAAGAAGAGAGGTAAGCTGTTTGCTGTGATGTGTTTTTCCAGGGATGCAGTGTCTGCAGCTATTCCTTCATCCCTATTGCTTTGTAGTTCTAGATAACTGGGATTCAGTAGTTGAGTTGGGAGGGACAGGGAAGTGAAACAAACTCCATTGTCCTTGGCAAATGAAGCACAACTCAGGTTGTGAGCACCCAAAGCAGGTATAGCTTGCTAAGGCATGTGTGTTTGATGATACAGGAACAGCAAATGTCCATGCTATTTGAAAAGTCATGGCAGTCAGATGAAGTCCTGGTGACTGGAAAAAGGGAAACATTGCACTTATTTTTAAGGGTGTAAACACAGACCCTGGGAACTACCAACCTGTCAGCCTCACCTCTGTGCCTAGGAAGATGGTAGAACAGATCTTCCTAGGAGCTATGCTAAAGCTCATGGATGACAGGGAGGTGATTTGAGACAACTAGTGTGGCTTCACCAAGGGCAAGTCTTGCCTGACCAACCTAGTGGCATTCTCTGGTGGAGTGACTACATCACTGGTCAAGGGAAGAGCTATGGATGTTGTTTGTCTCGTCTTTTGTAATGCCTTTCACAAGGCTCCTGTGATTTCCTTCTCTCTGAATTGGAGAGATACGGATTTGAGGGATGGACTGTTTGGTGAATGAGAAATTGTTCGGATGACTGTATCCAGAGGGTACATGTGGTCAATGGCTCCATGTCCAGACAGATTGGTGACAAGAGTTGCCCCTCAGGAGTCCATACTGTGACTGGTACTGCTCCATATCTTCATCAATGACAAAGACAGTGGAATTGAGTACACCCTCAGCAAGTTTGCAGTTTAATGGTGCAGTCGACATGCTGGAGGGAAGGGATACCATCCAGAGGGACCTGGACAAGCTTGAGCAGTGGGCATGTGTGAACCTCATGAGGTGCAACAAGGCCCGGTGCCAGGTCCTGCACCTGGGTCAGAGCAGCTGCTGGTATCAATGGGGGGGATGAGGGGATTTCGAGCAGCCCTGCAGAGGACTTGGGGGTAGTGGGCCATCAAAAATTGGATGCGAGGCAGCAAGAAAGCCAACTCTAGAAAGCAAACCATATCCTGGGCTGCATCAAAAGAAGCATGACCAGCTGGTAGAGGGAGGGGATCCTGCCCCTCTGCTCTCATGAGGCTCCACCTGCAGTACTGCATCCAGCTCTGGGGCCCCCAGCGTAAGGGTGTGGACCTGTTAGAGTGAGTCCAGAGGAGAGCTATGAGAATGACCAGAGGGATGGAGCACCTTTCCTATGAGGAATAGCTGAGAGGGCTGGGCTTGTTCAGCCTGGAGAAGAGAAGGCTCCAGGGAGACCTTAGAGCAGCTTCCAGTACCTAATGGGGGGGCTACGAGAAAGATGGGATCAAACTTTTTAGTCAGGCCTGTTGCGACAGGACAAGGAGTGATAGTTTTAAATTCGAAGTGTATAGATTTAGAATAGATACATGGAAGAAATTTTTTACAATAAAGGTGGTGAGACACTGGCACAGGTTGCCCAGAGAGGTGGTGGATGCTCCATCTCTGGAAACATTCAATGTCAGGTTGGATGGGGCTCTGAGCAACCTGATCTAATTGAAGATGTCCCTGCTCATTGCAGGGGTGTTGGACTAGATGACCTGCAAATGTTCCTTCCAACCCAAACTAATCCATGCTGCAATCAAGTAATTCCATTCTACTTAATGCTGCTCAAGTCTTTGAAGATTAATATTAATTGTTCAGGCAAATATTACAGCATTCCATAAGTCAGTTTGCTTCAGACTTTCTATTCTTTTTGTTGTTAATTCCAATAGTAATTTTCTACTGATACCTCCATCCTCCTTTATCACAGTTTGTTTTTTCTGACTTAAGTGTACTTCTCTTTAACTTTCCTTTTTTTACCATGTGATAGCAGCAAAGGGGTCAGCATTGGTTTTAAAGGTCTTTATTTCATCTCTTTTCCCAGCCAGTGGAACACGGGTTCTTAAAGACTTTTATGATTGTAGAATGTGGCTGGGGGGTTGTGGTGCTGTCATTTTATGGACATTTAATAAAGCATTAGTAAGGAACTATCATTAAAATGTCTGCCTTCATGCATCAACATTTTCACCTGATAAATTCTGCTCCCAAGTGGGGTTTTGATTCATATTTAGGAAACAAAGTCAGTTAAGATTGCATTTCATTAGCCCACAGCTAATGTTTGCATTGTTTCCACTGAGGCAACCATCGCAAATGGACCTGCAGTCAATTCCTTTTCACCTGCCAGGATGTAGCCCATCACAGAAGCCCAAATTAGTTTTAATACTTTATTTTTTAAAAGTCTATTTGCTTATTCTCTAGGAATTAAAACACATTTTACTAATGGTAGCAGTAACGTCTTTCA